CAAACTAGACAGAACACCCCAAACTGCGAGCTGCTGCAATGGGCTACTACGTGACCGAGACTCTCCCATGGACCGCTCGCATCAGGTCTGCTGTTCTCTTCTTAGCCCTCTGGATCCCGGCGCTGCTGGCTTACGAGCAGCTGTCCGATGATGCTCTCCGGAATATCCCCAGCGGCGCCGATGACTTGGACGCTAAGACGGGCGCGCTACTCGCGCCCATATTGATCCCGCGCGTGCCCGGCACGCCCGGGTCGGAGGCCGTGCAGGGGCACTTTGTCGAGTTCTTCTCGCGTCAGCTGCCGAGATGGAACATCGAGTGGCAGAACTCGACGTCTAAGACCCCGGCTACCGGGGACGTCGAGGTCCCCTTCTCGAATATCATATTCACGCGCGACCCGCCCTGGGCCCGGCCCGGCGATGTCGGCAGGTTGACTGTGGTCGCGCATTACGACAGCCTGTACCGGCCAGAGGGCTTCATCGGGGCTGTCGATAGTGCGGCCCCCTGCGCCATGATGATGCATGTTGCGCGTAGCATCGACGAGGCCCTGACGCGAAAGTGGGATGCCATGGAGGCTTCGGGTGATGCCGGCATGGGGCTCGAGGGCGAGAAGGGGATCCAGTTTGTGTTCATGGATGGGGAGGAGGCCTGGCACAAATGGACAGACGAGGATTCTCTGTACGGCGCAAGGTAGGTAGGGCGACTCCTCGTATACGGGGAGAAAAATCGAGTCGAGTCACACGAGCTTATGATGTATGTACAGGGCAATGGCTGAAAGTTGGGAGGACGAGGTGTACCCGGCCGCCTCGACGTACCGCACGCGCATCGAATCGATTGACCTGTTTCTGCTGCTCGATCTGCTGGGCGGTCCTAACCCCAATGTGCCCTCGTATTTCCCAGAGACGCACTGGGCATACCAAGGCATGGCCAAGGTCGAGGAACGGATGCGCAAGCTCGGCGTCCTGACCACCAAACCTCAGAACAGGATGTTCCTCTCCGAAGGTAGCAAGGAGCAGGTCCAGTCGCGCTTTCAGAGTGCGGGCTACGTCCAGGACGACCACGTGCCCTTCCTGAGACGCGGGGTGAATGTGCTACATATTATTCCGAGCCCGTTCCCGCCTGTCTGGCATTCGATGAGGGATGATGGAGATCACTTGGACCGTGATACGGTCGACGACTGGGCGAGGATCATCGCCGGTTTCGCGGCTGAGTGGATGGAGCTGGATGGGTTCATGGACGGAGGATCATCCCCTTCGGCGGAGGAGGAGGAGCGGCTGGAGATTAGAAGCAGGTCGGAACTATGACAATATTATTATATCTAGGTGCCGAATATAAATGGATTTGTGAGATTTATACACAGAATGACCCGATATGACTGTTTTGCAGCATTTGTCTGATCTGGTACATACTAGGTAGGTTAGGGGTATAAAAGGGGGCTGATCTTGACAGTGTGTAAATTGCTAAAAGCACTATATCGCACTGTTGGACCCTAGCATTGAAACCACGTCAGCCACAGCGCAATTGGCGACCACCTTGAGCAAAGCAGCTTAAAAAAAGTGGAACGGGTGTTCTGTTCAATTGGACTGGAGCTCAGCAATTCGTCAGCGAAGCTTAAACTACTAACCTACAACAATAATACGTACACACATACACACATACACCAGACATACACATACAACATACACATACATACACACCTACTACACAAGCACGCACGCAGCAACGCAACAACGCAGCATCAGCGTTCACCACGGAACCATGCGATTCCTCCACTCCTTGACGCCCTCCCTCCTGCTCCTGGCTGCTGGTGCAGCTCAGGCAGCTTCGTCCTGGGGCTTCGCTGACGCCACCGTCTCGGTGAACAGTAAGAAAGGCGCCAGCACTGGTTCGAAAGAAAAGTACGTCTGTCTCCGTCACGGGTAGCAAGCAGTAGGGTACTTTATGGAAAGAGAGAGAAACCAAGCATCAATTGGCTGACCGAAAGGGAAAACCCAACCCGCTTTCTTTCCTCTCCACCAGGTTCAGCGAGAAAGCCCCTCTGTCGCAACCCGTCGTCCTCGGAACCGCCGACTCGCTGAAGATTATCCTCACCGCGCAGGAGGGCGGCAAGGGCAAGCGGCCGCACCAGGCCTTCGTCGTCCTGCAGGAGCCCACCACCGGCCTCGAGGCCCCGTTCCCGCTGACGGTGAAGGAGAGCGGGAAGGCCACCGTCGAGATTGTACGTTCTTCCTCCACCTCCTCCCCCTCCTCCCTATTTTCTATCCGATCGTTAAACTAATATCTCCCTCCCTTTTCCTTCTTCTTCCCCCGACACGCAGAAGCAAAGCGACCTCCCCGTACAGCTTGCGGCCTCGACCGCGCCCCTCAAGGCATCCCTGGTGCTGGCCTCGTTCGGCTCGTCCGCGGGCCTCAACACGCCCATCTTCGACGTCGAGATCAAGCCCGACCCCAGCGCGGCGCCTGTCGTCTACGAGAAACCCCTGCGCTATGGCAAGCGCGACGAGATCCACCACATCTTCCGCGACGACCCCAAGAGCCCGCCCAAGGTCATCTCCCTCGTCTTCGTGCTCGCCATTGTGGCTACCGTGCCGGCCCTGTTTGTTGGTGTATGTGCTTCCTGGTTTCCTAGACTTCCGATCTTTCTTCCGACGACGAAGGGGAATAGAAGGGAGGGTGGAGGATCCCTGATTTACGTCATGGAGGCTGGGTGAACTTACTAACGGGAATATAGTGGCTTGTTCTCGGCGCCAACGTCTCGCACCTTTCCAAGGCTCTCAGCGACGCGCCCCTCGCACACGGCGTCTTCTTCGGCTCCATCGTCGCCATGGAGGGCATCTTCTTCATGTACTACGTTAGCTGGAACCTGTTCCAGACCCTGCCGGTTATCGGCATCGTGGGGACTGCGACCTTCCTGAGCGGCGCCAAGGCCCTAGGCGAAGTGCAGAACCGACGTCTAGCTGGAGAGAGATGATTTTTTTCATAGCATGTTCATCTAGACATAAAGTACTTTTTTTTCCTTTTCCAGGGGACCAAAAGAACCCCTCGAAGTATAGATGATGGATGTTATGCGATGATGCGCTTGGCGGGTCAAAATAGGGGGCTAGGCTGTTCAAAACGTCACGCGGAAAAGAATAGGTACGAAGATAAGAAAAATAAAAATAAAGGATGCCAATGGCTCATAGATGATTGATTTACGAGGGGTTGCCGTGATTTGCTTATGATGTGTGTTCTTTCGACATATGCATACCTAAGGTTACCTATATCTAGCTATCCCCCTAACCTACACCCGTAGCTGGCAAGTCTTGCGACAGTCTTAGGTATTCATAGATGGTATTTATCCTCGAGTTCAGTTTGTCTATTTAGCTGGCTACTTATATTCAAAAGTCGGTTGTCTATCTATCCATCTGTCTATCTAGGTAGGTACTAGGTAACTAGCATTCGCCTCCCCACGGCCTCCCCACAGAAGCCCCCTCTTTGCCGGCTTGCTGGTTCCTCGAAGATATGTAGAAATATACCAAAGTTCAATAAAAAAGAAAAGAAAAAAAGAAACAGTAAGTAGGTATACATATGGTTTAAATGGAAGTTTTTTTTCCTTTTTTTTTTTCTCTTTGTCAACGAAAAAAAAAAACCACTTCGAATACTTCTTACGAACACCGTGTCCAGCCAGCCAACGCCAACCAAACCTTCCGAGACTTTACTTCGGGGTTTTCTCGCGGGGAGGGACTGGAGTTTGCTTCCGGCGGGGGGGAGGGGGGTTCAGCTACTGGTAGATTTTATTTGCCGTAGTACATACGGTAAGTACCTGTCATGGGGACTTTGACGGGACCAGAGGAGAGAATCTGGAGTTTGTCTGTCTAGAGAGTAAAACCCTTAACCTAGAGTATTCGTTGTACTCGTTCAACCTTGTTTTTTTTTATAAAGGAAGGATGGCAAGTTCTTTTCAGGTTCATATGCGGCGGTGCTTACAGTACTTGTGTGGTTGCGATACCTAAAAAGTCTATGTAAAAAGGGGGTTTGATCCACGGGGTGTTGAGTTGTAGACTACGCGGTTGGGAGGGGGGTTTGGGGTTTGGTGCTGTTGAATAGAGGACGGGGTTGGTTCTATCTTGTGTTTATATGGTTTGCTCGGAGAGGAGTAGCTGGGGAAATAGCATTGGCTTTCTGGGAATGGGTGGGCTCAGGGGGACCTGGGAAGGCTGGCTCAGGTGTCATCAGAACGCACCGGGGGACCAGATGTCGACAGCGAATGGATAGGGGTTCTCTTGTTTCGTTTCGTCGACGTAATCTTATTATCGGGGTTTGATACTCACTCATGAGTTCCTTCGTTGGACTGAAGCTGAGTAGCGTCCCCTAGGTAGCCTTTTGCTTACTCTAAAGAGTCTGTCATCTTGACAAGCCGATCTGGCCCAGGTTCGGCAACCATGATGTTCTGCTACTAGGTATTAGTTCCCGAAGGTAAGCCTTGTATGTGTAGTATGGTACCTACCCCTGGATTTAAATCACAATGGACCGAATCCGTTCTCGTGCATATAATGTAGCTCTTCTAGCAAACTGTGTGGTGGTTTGTTTGACTACGCCTTCGAGTAATGGCCCGGTGATACGACTGTTCAGGTCGCCGTGTTTCGTATATTCCATAGCAATGTATGATGATGATGATTTCGTTAACGTCTAAGGGACGAAATCTATCTACCTAAGTACATACATTCCGTCTACGCATCAATGGCGCGTGGGACGTCTGGAGTACCGAAGCAGAGCCAGAATTTCGCGTGATATAAGAAATCCTTTATAACCTGCCGTTGCATTACTTATAAATGCAATTAAAATTAGCTTGTTAGCGTTAGCTTTAATTTAATTTTTTTTTTTAAAAAAAAAAAACAAATAATTTAATATTAAAATAATAAAGCTTAATATTATAACTATAATACTAGTATTAAAGTGATAAAGCTTAATACTAAAAAAGTTGCGTGCTTATTATCGACTAGCACAAGCCGAAAAGGTCGGGCGACCACAGCGAGATTCGAACCTACGCACTATTAGTTTCCCACACTAATGCAAACCAAGCGTTAACCATTGCGCCATATAACCCATAGCAATGTATAGTAAATGTTTAGGCTCAAACCAGCATTTCAATGTCACGAAGCAATGTGCATACTGCTCCCAGGTAGTCAGGTCAGTGACAAGGCCTTTATGGCCGGATCTCTTCAGAGAGCGTTACTTTTTGCATGGGAGAACTTGAAACAGGCTTCGAATTATATGGTAGGTATAATCGAGAGTTTTGTCAGTCCCGAGGGATTTTACTATCTAGTTGGCAGCTCTAACTGCTCCGTGATGTCTCTGCCCGATATACTCAACTGGAAGTTCCATAGCCTATATATGCACTGAAATCACCGGTGTAAGATTATACCTTGGTACAAGAACATATGTCTCTTCTAGAGAACAAGGGCGGTTCCAAGTTACTTGTTACTTGAACAGCGAGGTACATTAGGTGAATGACTGTTCAAGGTAATACTCCGATGTCTACATATGGATGTAGGGTGATTTACAATAAGTGGCATAGCTAGTAGGTAGATCATCTCTAGCATAAGCTATCGTAGACTTGGAGTGTCTAAAAATGACTTTTGGCCTAGTTAATTTCCACGTATATTTAGGTATATTTCATTATACCATCAACACATCGAGAAACGCGGGAAGTTCATCGTCCAGAGCTCATACAAGGCTAGAATTCCACGACCGAGATAATTTAACTCCATACTACCTACGTATGCATCTCCCTACAATATGCCCTAATGGAGATATACCCGTTCGTCACCAGCCTAGAACAACAATTCTTGGGGGGATTGCGAGCACGAAGAGACAGATAAAAAGTCAGGGTGGAGTTATCTTATAATCACTTATAATTACTTATAACCTTAGGTTATAGTATAGTACTAAGTAACAACCCTCTCCTTATCTTTTCCCAATCCGTGGCATACATGCTTTCCTTAATACATACTCGATACAGTCGCAATAACACTATTCCTCCAGGAAGGAAGGCCCCTTATCCTCATTCCCGCTTCAGACTATCCATCCATCTCATCTCTCCCTCTCTCCCTCCCTCACTCACTTACGGCGAACAATCCGCCTACCACTTCATCCCGACCTCTTGGACGAGCTCGGGCGTGACGAGCACTGCATATCCACGTCCACATCCGCGCTCGAGTCCGAGTTCCGAACTAAACTCGGCGTCGGCGTCCAGGTTCCTTTCCTCGACGTCCTCCCGGGACGCACCCTCGTTCGCGCTAGGCACGTCGAAGATCGAGCGTATCTTTCGTATATAGAATGCTGACTATCCAAAAACCTGCCAATCGTATAATTACCCCACTCGTGTGATGAAGTTACTCGTAGCGGCCTAACCTAGCCTGTTATAGTCGGCGTCACGGCATCGAGGATTTTCTTGCGGTGCTGCGGCGTCGAAAGTGGCTTAGATGGCCAACCCGATGGTTTCGACAGTTGAGGTTATGGCGAGCAAGTGACGGACAACAAGAGGATCTCGAAGGTGGGCAAGGATGTTCAACTCCCCCCCCCCCCCCCCCTTTCGGGCTCTCGTTTTTGGATGAGAGCTCCAAAAGTTGAATGCCATGCTTGAAGACAACGTCACTTCATGGTCCTAGGTATCGGTAGAATATGTAGTATATTTAGTCCGTTGGCATAGTGCTGTTATAGTTCATAGTCGAACATGCTTCCCGTGTCTGATACCAGGTCATTCATTGGATCATTCATGTACATCAAGGCAGTCCCAGGTTGATCCGACCATGGCAAAAGGTCAAAGTTATAGCCACTCTCACCTGGCACGCCTGGTTGTGGTATGCTCGGTGGCATGGGATTACTTTGTGAGGCTATTGGAGGTGAATGGTCGCTGAAGGTGATAACACGAGGTAGGGTCATCGTTAGGGATCCGCCGGATTCGTTGATGGGTGCGGAGAAAGATGTTTCGCCAAGAAATTGAAATTCACGGCCCATATGGCTCATCGTAAAACGAACCATCGTTCCGTTTGGCTCGGGAGAAACTCCTGTTGGTGTAGAGTGGCTGGAGGGGCTGGCACCGGTGATCACAGGCCCAATAGCATTATTCCCCGTTGTGGTACCGCTCCCCCGGGCGGAAGTTTCTGGAGATATATCGCTTGACTGGGCCAGAGATTCCGCTGAGTCCTTAAGCACACCAGGTGCAACAGACAGAAGGCGACTGGATATTTCTGGGCACGCTTTGGCGACGGCTTCCCAAGCCTTGGTGAGCAGGCGCTTAGCCTCCTCTCTCGAAAGCTGGAAATCCTCTTCAGAAGTTGTGGCTCTCTTGGCTACTGTGTCCAACATAACGTCAAAGAGTTCATGGCTCTGTTTTTCCAAGCTAGGTGGCTCCACACAGACTGGACTGGTTGTTAGATAAAGACTATGAGCCGGTGGCGACGTTACGGGAGATCCGTCTAGGCTAGGGGTTAAGTGGACTTACGGAGAGACATGAGATCTTCGGGCATTTCACGATCACCACTGACTATCTTCCAAATATTACAGACCAACTCTTTCCTAGCCTTTGCCTTCTCAATAGGATCCCTCGAACGTTTTCCTGGACCGTCTGCATTTTGAATAGTTGCTTCGATCTCACCGAATTGTTGATCAGTCAGATAAAAACGCGGATCAACCGGGGCTTTCTTCTCTCGTCGCTTCTGCATTGCTTCTTGCGTATGAAAACTTAGGTAGTGTTTCCTAAGGAGGTTAGGATGCATAACTTATCACAGGGCGAAGAGGGCAGGTGTTCCATCGCTGATTTACTCACCTCAAGGAGTATCGCTCACTGAAACCCTCAGGTTTCCGACAGGAGGGGAATGCTCGATTTGGCAAGTCCGGATGCGCAAAGGGCATTACACACGGCAAATCCTCAGGTGCTCTCTGGCGCTTCGATGGAGGATTTTGGTTGGTAGGCACTCCTGGGGGTTTGTCCTCATTCATATCGTCATCGCCGTCCGAAGGCACCTCTCTTTTCCTGTGGTTGATACGTGCCGCACGTGAACTGGCAGACTTGCCTGGCTGGGTAGGACCATTCCTTGATGATCCCGCTTGTGGTGACGAGGTATTACCCCCTGAATCACTTACAGGCGATCCCTCGTCGGAGGTACCCCCGCGAGAAGCCTCCAACGCCAATGCCTCCGAGTTGTCCGGCCAACAAGGAGTCGGATAATTAAGCAATACGGCACGTCTTTCCTCTGGAAGCTCATGGATCGAGGATATGATGCGCTCAGCGAAAACAGGGTCCTGTGACAATACACTCCGTATGGAGTCGAGCAGTGGGTGGCACTCCTGCTCATCGTCGCTCCATTCCTGGCACGAAGCTAGGGTCTCTGTGGTGATAGATTCCAGCTTCGGCTGTGAGATTATCACCGAGCCATAGAGCGAGCTGCGGTCGCTAATCAGCGAAGAATATTTCGCGTCGACCAATAGAGGCGATAGATGCCCTCCTATCGATTTATAGGCCGGGTCATGTTGTCGATTATGCACGACTACGGTCCGTTTATAATGCCTCGGGTGAGATCGTGACAAGGTAAGTGATTGCAGCGAATCACACACTGAACTGTACGAGGGATGTTGTGTTAGTGGAGAGCTTGGTGGCTAACGAGTGTCAAGGAGGTTATTCCAGGGGAGTGATTGAAAAGGGATAGGTGGGGGGGAGTGATTGAAGAGGGTCAAGGGCACTAGCCTAGGCAGGCGCCTAAGTGGGGTACGATAAGGTTTAAGGTTAAGTTAAGGTTGTTATGTAGGTTAGGTTAGTGGATTTGGTAGATACTGACCGGACTGTTGATGGTTGCGATTTGGGCTTAGTTATAGCGTATTTAGTGGGACAGTTGCCGTCAGGTAACCGATTACGGACGAATTTCTAACATCATGCGTGCATTGTTAGAAGTTACATAAATCCTATAGGTAATATGTAATATAACAACTTACGACAGGGTCTTTCAACAGAACCTCGAGGTCCTGAATTCGACTATTTGCACTACCAAGGCAGGGGGGCTCGCCAGTAACAAGAAATTGTTCGAATTGATCCATTTCGGTGAATTTGTTCAACCAGAGGTTTTGTAATACTTCGGTCGACATAAGCCCCCAACCCATCTCTACATCCATTGCAGAGACGATCACGAAATAAATCTCAGATAGGCGAGAGACAACTTCAAGACAAAGATGGTTGTTACTTGCTTCGGTTTTCTTGGTGTGTCAGGTACAGGAGTTTAAATCCTAGAAGGGCCCCAGACGGGACCCGGCGGTCGGTAGAGAAAAATAAATTATTGTCATCGAGCCCAGCTATTTTCTCCCCTCTGGTGGAGAAATAATGCCTTCGGGAGAATTTTGACTGGTACCGTGGAGAAAGATAAAAGGCAGGCTGGGTAGTGCTCTGCATGCCAGCGGTACATCATTTTGAGCCTCACCGACGCGCGGCAAGACCGCTTTCTAGGTCAGAGCCGACAGACAATACACCCCTGCACCTACCAGACATATGTAAAGTACATCCGTACTAAGCTTGAGGTCAATGAATTGTGTTGAGGTTTTATTTGACGATTTAACGAAGGGGGTTACTGCGGCTAACTAGTGTAATAGAGAGGCGGCCAAAGTACTTACATACTTACCTAAGGTTAGCCCGTCCGGGTCTAGCCCCACCCTTATGCCCCAGGACCCGTTTATTAGCTGGGATTCCCTTCGATGATTCCCTGCTTTTGTACGATGGCTTCGACTTTTCTGCTTCCAACACCGACAATCTTACAACTTAGTCCTCCGGGTCTGCGATTAATACCTACTTATGGGAAGACTACCACCGCCCTCCCATCCAGCCTCCCTGCTCGCAGCTCGTCATACCCCCTTTGCACCTCGTCAAACGAAAACCTCTGCACATCCACCCTCAACTTCCCCTGCCCCATCAAGCTGCACACCTCCCTCAGATCCTGCCGCGTGCTCCCGATGCTGATCGCGAACTCGCATCCCGTACTAATCAAGCCCCACCCCACCTCAAGCGTGTCACCGTGCATGCCCACGAGCACGATGCGGCCCCGCGCGCGCGAGATCTT